TGTGTGTGTGTGTGTGTGTGTGTGTGTGTGTGTGTGTGTGTGTGTGTGTGTTTGAAGAATTTCTCAATGTGTTTCTGACACGTATGGTGTGTTTATGATGTCTTAGCGCATTTGTTGTGAGGGTAGTGTGTACATCTGTCTGTGTGTCTCTGTGTGTACAAGAGAGAATATTATTATGTTGATGTGCTTGTGGTCTCAAATAGAATAACAATGACAAAACTAAAACAAGAAAAAATTTGAACATGTTTTTTTCTTTACTGTGTCTATTCACTTTTTTGGAGAACCCCCTGCCCCCACATTTTTCTGTGGCTCATTTTACATTCCCTGTAGCAATGTTATGGATCTGTTTCGCTTTCCAAGATACCTGTCCCTATACCATGGATGTGTTTTCTCTATCTTTGCTATTTTGCTTTTTGGGTACAAAAGGTTGAAAGTATCTTTAGTCTGCCATAATAATATTGCTATTTCCAAGATCTGAATAACCATTATATGATGCAGTACGGTACCTTAGTTTGAAGCATATGCAGCTCTGTCAGTTATGGTGTTAATGTACATATTTGAATAAAATACAGGTCGTCTTTTCTGTGTAATATTGAATGGTGGGAACTTGTATGAATACTTTGCTGTAGACTAAGTTACGTAAGTTTGAAAAGAAATCAGAAGTCTTTTTTCTCTATGATTTGCACCGGACTAGCAAACTTTTTTTTTTTAAACATTCGCCTTTTTTTTACTTTTCGTTTTTTGTTTTTTGTTTGTTTTGTTTTCCCAAGGCCCCTGGCATCTTTCTCGGCTCCCTTCTCTACACGACCGACATTACATCACGTGACCGGAAGCGCACTGTGGGCATGTCCATTTTGGAAGGTCTCCGAGGTCTGGTCGGGTCATTAGTAAACATTCTCGCTGGTGTCTTCATTCAGAAGGCGGGGTTTTTCTTCACTGCCAATGCTGCTGTTATCTTTTCTTGTCTTTGGTGAGTTAATCGCGTTTTCGTGTACATCGCAGTTCTGTTCAGGCCGAGTGTTATATTAGGTCTACTTGAATCGCCGGAGATTAGAGAGTGTCAGTGATACTGTCGTGTAGAATAACGATCATGATGATGATAAGGAGGAGGAGGAAGAGGAGGAGGATGAGTAGGAGGAGGAGCAGGAGGAGGTGGGAGAGGATGTGAATTTAAAATAGCTAAAATGATTTTTAAATTTAGTTTTCAAACTCCAATTTTCACAAAACTCAAGTTGTCGGTTAGGTTTTGACAATTTGTGGTCTTTTTTAAATTTTAAACTAAAGCATTTTCTCAAGAGTCAATTCTCACCTCTGTTTTTACCAATGAATAAAATAAT